CTGCTATATATTCATTATCTGCAAGTTGAGTAGGTTTGAAATGCTTCACTGTCTGTGTAAAGCATGTCAAATAATTGGTATTTTAAAAGCTCCAAAAGAAGTAAATGGCAAAAATGCTTTAGAGAAGAATTAGGTGAAATGTATGCAACTGAGAGTTGGACCTTGTTTTGTGGCGTTAAGAACCAACCTCTTCTTCATGAAATACAACTTGATTACAGATGAGACTATCACTTATTTTTAAGTGACTAAATCGAATTTTAAAGCTTTTTACTCATAATAGCAAACACACGCAAAAACTAAAGTGTAATTATGCATTTTTTTTTCCCTTATGTAGTCTTTGTATTCTAAAAAAGTGTAGTTAGAATTCTTCTGTAAAGACAACTGAGAGCTTACCAGCTGTAGTGCTGGTCTTCTCAGGTTTTTAGCCAATTCAGATGAACTTGCAATTGACTGGGTTTAGAATCCAAAGACTGTGTTATTTTAGTGCTGGTTCCCACATTTTGTTTCTAAAACACAAGTTTGTATTAAACCACCTTTCAGAACAGAGGTTATCTGAATGGTGTAGATGCCTATTGAAGTACTACTTTGATATTGCAGCAGTTTAATCCACTGAGTAATGTCTCTTCAGGAGTATTTGTTAGTCATAGAATTTTTACAAACTGTGCTTTGTGTATGTACAGAACTTGTTCAGTAGGATTTATTGTACTTAGGATTGTGCAAGTTGTTCTTTTAAAAAGGAATTGAAAAACTTTGTATCAACAGTTCTGGACCAATAAGTGTTAGAGTAAAATTTTTTGCTTTTCCTTAAGAAACAAATCCAAAGCCTGTTTTTTTTTGTTCAGTCAAATTTATGTTTGTTTTTTTTTTCTACTAGAATGGCTAGCTCTGACTAGGTGGCATTAAAACTTCTGTGTTCCAAGGCTCTTGTTATATTTTAGCTTTAAGTAAAATGAGATGATTCTTTTCATTGTGTCAGAATATATGTGAAAATGTCATGGGCTGAAATTGTAGAATAAAGTATTTGCTTTTGTTGTAGATGGTCAGCTTATGAAAGCATTTGGGTGAACAGATGTGACTAAACATTTTAAAAAAACCAAACAAAACCAAACCAACCCACATGATAGAAAGGGGGCACAAGGGGTGTTTAAGACAGTGCTGCATGAGTTGGTTGTCTCAAAACACATGAAACTTGCCAAGATGTGCAGAGATGCTCAGCACAGTGCAGCTTGGCTGTCCTGCAGGTCGGTGGTCTGACAGGTGAGTTCTGGTAACAGGGTGGCCTCTTTGGCTAGTTTCAGGTAGGATTCAAGCCATGTGTGAATGAACCCAGGAGTGTCTGGGTAGTTTCTGAGTGGCTTCAAGACCGTTATGTCTTCTACTGCCTTGCTTCTGTTACTGCAGAACAAAATCGAATTTTAGGAAGATTAAAACCTGACTTCTGTACCAGTACATTCTTGCTTTACTTTTTCCCTTGATCAGTTTTGAGACCTGCACAGCTGCAAATAGTGTCTTCCCACTAACATCAGTCTGGTCCACAGCCTGGGCTCCTGTCATCAAGCAGCATCACTGCTCATGAACTGCATGTCAGACCAGGGCTGCCTCCTTCAAAAGGAAGCTGAACCATCCTCTTGAATCTTCAAATCCTTTATAACAGGCAGATGATGATCCTTATTAAATTTTAAATCCAGTTTGTAGTGTCTTATCTCATTTTGCTGCAAGTGTTGCGTCATCCTGTTACTCAGTGAAACCACTGATACTTTTTGCCTAAGACAAACTTGCACAAATAAAACTTTCTAAATTCTGTGGTTCCCAAAATCACTGGTGGTAGGATTGGGACCTACAGCTTTTCAAGGCCAGTGTCTTTCAAAGAGAAAAATGGGAGACAACAAAGGAAAGAGCTCTTAAATCAGAAACATCTTTTATTAACAGTAAAACACAAAACGTGAAAAATCCCTTTTTCAATGTAATAATCCCAGCCAAACTGTCAAAAAGTGTATTGTTCAAACACCAGGCTAAATATGTTGCCTTCAGAATGCCTCAAATCAAACACAGCAGG